CTCCCATTTTGTGCCAAATGAACAGCCTGCTTTGGGGGCAAAATGTGACTCATCCCCATTAACTGATTTCCTTTTCACTAATCTGTCTTTCTAAAAATAGATTATTTCCTACAATAACATGTGATTTGAGTTCCCAGAGCCGTTTTCTGCATCTTCACTTTTCTGCTGGGGGGGAGCGGGGTGGGATCACAACTCATCTGTCTTGGACTAGATTTTATTTCGATGCCAAAGGAATAAATATTTCTCTCACCTGTAATTTCGGGGAATTCTTTGCTATGGATCCAAGATGCACATTGTAGAACAAATGGGGAAAAAAGGGAGTTTTAAAAGTTATGGATTGAAGGCTATAATCTATTGAATAACTATGCATCCATCCTCTTTGCAGCCCTTGTTCTGTCTCAAAGCTTCCACTGGGAGTCAGGATATCTCAAAAGTAAATTCTATTTTCTAATCACTATAATGGGTTAATTAGAATGAGAAATAGCTGCACTTTCTGATTATCTCCAGGCAATCAGAGTATCCGAATGTCTGTGTCAGTGCTGAGTGCTCAGGATAGTCCAGCTGATGTCAATCATTTACAGGCTGGGTGACACCACCGCCCCGTTGATGTCACCGAGCGTGCCTGGCAGCATTCCTGCCGCTGACGGCACAGTCTGAAGAGTTCAAACAAAGTCAAGAGGATCGTTTGTTGATAAGGAAAACGCGGCTTTCAGTCCCAGTAGAGCCCCCCAGAGAAGCCCGACCCGTTCAGCACAGGATCCTTGTTGGGTTTAACACTACAGAAATCCCCTTGCAGTGAACTTCTGCTGATGTTGTGAGATAACCCCAAGTCCCATGAGCGCCGGGGCTCGAGCTGGGCTTGGGAGATGAAATATTCTGATAAAAAACGGCACTTCCTTTCCAGGCAGATAAGTGCGTGTTCTTGCAGCACCGCTGGAACCTCGCTGAGCGCCCCAGTGAGGCTCTGTCACCTCTCCTGCCTCACTCCAGCCTTTCAACCGCCCCCCTGGCACACCTCAGTGCAGCAGCAATTAACATCCATAAACCACAAGTGTGGCTTTTATCTCTTTTTAGCTCACAACCATGAAAGCTCGCTGACATTCATAACACCCCAAAAGTTGTCTGCCTCAACAGCTGAGAGAATTAAGACATAATTAAACATTCATGCTTGACTGCGACTCCCAGAGGAAGGAACGCGGCTTTTTAAATTTAATTTTTAAATTAAAGATGTGTCAGCTTTGGCCACCAAAGGTAACAGTGTTAGGGGCACATAAAGAAACAGGGGAAATCAAGAGCTTCCCCCCTGCTCTCATTGCTTGTGTCTTTCAGACTAGACACAGGAAGCACCATGGGAACGGTGTATTTTTATGGTTGCAGGCAAGCATACACCATGTGCACCACAGCGTGCAGCTTCCAGTCCCTTGAGGCAAGAAAAGGGGGTTTTGTTTCTTCTTTTTTCATTCTTCCCCATCAAGCTTTTAATTACCATTTTACTATAGCCTGCTGCCTAATTGTTTGCCCGATACTTAGCACTGATCATCATGGAAGCCTGTTTAACAGTGGGGTGGAGTAGGACAAGTTGAGTTGTTTCCATGGAATGGCATCTCACCTGTGTCAGGACACACATAAAAAAAACACCACAAGCTGGTGTGTTTGCACAGGCTCAGGGAAGTACAAATACAAAACTGCTTGCTGGAAAAGTGGATTTTTTTTCATACCAAATGAGCTCCAGTGATGGTGTTTCAACCCTATACATTAACTTAGTGCTTTTATTAACTGTCTGTAAGATTTTAAAAGGATCCCAGCACGACTTTTAGCATAAAAAGCTCCACCAAACCAAGTCATGCAATATCTAGACTAAACAGGTCCAGCTTCTGCTCAAAGCCTCAGAATAATTCCCCACAACATACTCACAGTGTCACTTATGAATAATGCAAGAATCACAAAAACACATAGTCCAAGAAACTGGAAGATTCCTACTCACTATGGATGGCTGACAAGACATGGAAAAACCAGACATAATTGTGCTGAAGAAAAACATGTTACAGGCATAGTAAGGCCGTGGAAAGCAGGTTATCGAAGGCCTGATCTCTCTCCATGAGTCAGTGGCCTCGTGTTCCCATGATGGCCTTCAGCAGATGGAACAAACCCCGGGGGCACGGATCGTGTGGGGGTTCAGGAGAGAAAAAGGAGAGATTTCTGTGTCGCAGGCTGTCATCAGCGATGAATTGGGAAGGTGCTGGAGTGGAATTGCTCACTCACAAACATGATTAACATTTATGAGAATCACTTAGGCATTTTTCATTATTTCTATTTAAATTCGATATAAAATGAGGGGATTAGTGATGGTGTCAATGTGCCAAATAAAGAGCTCTTTGGTTTTTATTAACTAATAGGTTTTTCAGGTGTAGGCAGGACATAATCCTTTTTCCAAAAGCCACCACCAATACTGATGATATTTCTATTCTGTGATCCTGGAGAATATTATATATTCATTTTACCAGGGTTAGTGATCCCCAAAAGATAATCCTCCCACTAGCACAGCACTGTCAGAATGTGGTTTCATTTATAGAAGTCAGACAGTAGTTAGTGACCCACAAGGACTGCTCAGGGACTAACAGAGCTGCTGCTATTTTATAGAGGGCATGACATGAAAGCTGAGATTATTTGTGAATTTCAGTCTCCAACAGCAACTGAACTGGTGTTGTTGGGAGGAAATTTAAGTGCACCTACTACTGATCGTTGCACAGCCTGGAGTACTAGCACAGCATGCATAAATATTTAAGATTTATTGTGCTTCCGGTATCAGAATGACTGCAGAAAACAGTGTGTGAAGCACTGAAGCAAGCACAATATATATTTTATTTTGTGACATTTCACATGAGGTACCTTTTTTTGTGCATTTGAAGCAGCTTTCCCCTTGCAGTTGTGGCTTTATTCCTACAGTGAGCAGCAAGGAATGGGGCACTGAAGGTTCATACTCACTTTATAATGAATGAGCTCTAATGGTAAGGGAGGCTGCTGGAGGGGAATGATGTTTTATTGATATTTATAGCATTGTCTTTGAGATGTAAATTTTCAGTGTTTGCATTCCAGAACAAATGGCAGAGACTTTAAGAGATCAGCAGCAATATAAAAAATGAATGGTAAGAGCTGTACTGACAGTCTCTCATACATCCAAGTTGTTCCTGACTTAAATGTATGGAAAAGAGGGTGAGAAATGGTACTGCAGGCACAGGGCAGCCAGAGAATAGGAAAAGGACTTACTTCATGCCTGGACACTGCATATGAGCAGTATGGACATGGCTCCTGGAAAGGGAAGGTGGGCAGAAGCTACAGCAAATCCTCTCAGGTGGCCAATACTGGGAGGATTGGGAAAGAAACCCTGTCCTGGCTTCCTGCACCCACAGCTGAGTGAGCAGGTGGAGTGAAGGGCTGGGACACTGGGGAAGCACAGGGAGAAGCGAGCTAGTGAGAGTGGAATTGGTGCAAGGGGTGGACAAACAGCTGGAGCATGGTTGTGAATATTTTATGTCCTGTGGGATCTGAGAGATCAGCTGCCTTGGATGTAGAAAATGCTCAAGTCTTACATATTGTGTCTATTCTATTAAACTTCTGTATTTAGGGTAAGCAGAGCAGAACTCACCTGCCCAAGGCAGGCTCTATTTTGCAGACATCTATAATGAGCTAATCTCAACTGCAGAGTCCTGCTAAGCAGCTGCTGCTCTGGGGACACAAGGCTTTTCATCCTAATCCAGACACCCAAATTTGGTCAGAAAACCTGTGTGATGTCTCTCCATAAATTGTCCAGAAAGGCCAGACACCAGCAGTTGCAGATACTGGTATTGTAGATCCTTGAGTGAGATTCATCTCACCACTCCCTTGAGTGTTTTATGTTTGCTTGCAATTTGTTAACCAATAAAAACATTTGGTCTTTAATAATGCAAAAGTATAACCTCTGAAAAATAATCACGTTAACGTTAGAGGGAACAACCAAAGCTACTTGCACAGCCAAAACACATAATTCTTTCGTGATTTACTTGATTCATGTGATACAAACTCCTACCCAAAGCCACAGCCCTAATTTCCCTTGATGCTGCTGCACTGCCATGGAGCCGTGTCACAGGAGGGCCCTGTGAAATTGGTGACACCGTGTGTGCTGTCCCCAGGACACGTGCCCCACATCCTCCACCAGGCACACTCCTCACTGGTTGTGGCTGAGGCCCCTGGCACGGGTGAGCGCTCTCAGATCATGGGCAGGAACTGTTGTTAATGCTGAGATTTCAGTTTAGGAGCTTCTACAGCACAGAAGAAACTCAACACATGTAAACCCCTGAGCTCTGTAAGATTGCCAAGTTTCAGGAGCTGCTGCTGTTACCTTCTATCTATAAATGAAGAAGAAGGCCTGCTGGTTTTCAAAGACAGTACATATTAGCTTACTATTTCAGTTAATCCCTATGTTTTCTCTCAGACCTATAAGAAGGGTATTTTCTTCAACAATAAACATGGAAATTGACCTACCTCCCTTTCATCCCCAGTTTAAAATACAGCATTGCTGCTACAATTTTGAATTTTACAGGTCTGAGTGGTCCTGTGAATTTGAGATAACTTGTTCTTTCTTTCAAAAAAAGGAATAAATTATCAAGTTATTTTTTAGGTATGAAAGTACTTAGCAGCACAAATTAAAATTGCAGTCCTAACATAGGATTTGCCTATGCAAACTGCTCTTAGGAATTTGTTACCACACACATTAGAGGCTCACCAGATGCACTTGCTCTTTTATCTTCCCATCCATATTTCACAGATCCTGTAAAACTGACCTTGCTAAAATGCACGTGAGGTTCCCTGATGGAAAAGTGTTGCTCCTCTTTAGAGTGTGTTGAAATGCTCCAAATGAATTGTATTGCAATTCCTTTTAAAGGCATGCTCTCATAGCATAATCAGATTAATAAAAAGATAAAATACAACTATTATTTATCAGAATTCCAACTCTACTTTACCTCCTGCTTCTTCATTAGACTGATTGTGTTCCTTCATATCTTCCACATTATCCATGCTTTCCATTTCCTGGGATTTGTTCAGATTACAGTCTGTCAAATCCTCTTGTTCCACTGGAAAAAAAAAAAAAGGGCAAAAAATAATTAACTGTTTATTCTCCAAGAATATTTCCAGGTGATTTCCACAAAATAAGCACCTGCATACTCCCTGCACTGCTGACAGTACCCACAATGTTATTTCTACAGGTGCACTGGTTGCACTTTGGGGAATGATTTCACTTCCCAAAATCCTACACAAACTCACACACACCTGGAACACATTTTCAGCTTTTTCTCAGATCTAAATATTATGGAGATTATTCTAAATAGCAGCAGGAATAAAATCCTGGATATCTAACTCTATCATAGGTGTTCTGACAACTGCTGCGAGCAGGGATGGAGCTCCTTGGAGCAAGGCAAAGGAATCACAGCTCCACTTTGTTCTTTTGGGCAAAATATTAATCATTCTGGCCTTAGGCCAGAAAACTGCTCAAGCACATGTAATCAAGGCCTCTTTGAACCCACTTGCACTTCTCTGCTTATTCCATGTGTGTATTTTTAAATATCAACATTATCATGCAGACCAGCATCTCAGAGATCCCAGCCTCTCTACTCGGAAATAAAGACACATTTTTTACTGTAGTGAAATTTATTCGGGTAAAGTGTTTCAAATAAAGCCTCTTTCATTAACCCCACAATGCAAACTAGCTCCATATTATATGTATTTCTGTAAATTTCAAATCAATATTTCATAAAAAAACAGACTGCATTTTTCCAAACATTATAGGAATTTTTAAAATTTACAGTAATACTGTGAAATTGCTGGTAAATTCTTTGACCTACTGACAGCTGGATGGTAACACCTCTGATCCTTCTCAAGCTAAATATTACATTTGAGCTGAAAAGAGGCTAGACTTTTTGATTAACAAGAAAGTGAAACACTTGTCAAACTCACTCAGGAGGTTTGTTTTCATATTTTTAGAAATGCAGTCAACCAAGAGAATTGTATTATTCTTGCTTCCCTAATCAAAACTTCCAGCTTTCTCCTGATAATATTTCCGTTCCTCCTATACAGTCCTTTTTTCCCACTTCACTATAATTTTCCAGTATTATAGTGAACTTCCATGGTTTTATTTAATCTCTAAAATTTACTTTTTTTTTTGCCTTTAATGGCACTCTTTATACTTTTGACTGTTATTCAGTGTCCTGGGACCCTAAACCAGCTGCAATTCCTGTCTTTTTCTCCATTTAAATATAAAATTGTCAAGAGAGGGTGGAAGACAAACACAACTGAACAGCACAGTACCTGCAGCTATGGGCTGTTCCTGAGGGTTACTGAGATCCATCCCGGGCTGTGAATCTGCAAAAAACAGAAAAGCAGCCTGAGGTGTCTAATATTTAGAACAGTTCACAACATGGTTGTTACAATCTTAAAAACTCCTGTTTTTCTGGCTGAAAGTAAAATTGAAAAAAGAAAACATTTTAAAGAAATAAAAACCAAATTAATATTGTGCTTCACTTCTTTATATCCCGAGCACTTCTTTATATCCTGAGCCTGTGCCCAGAAACAGGATTAAGTATGATTTTCTAACTTCAAAAATTATAGAACAGAGTACCTTATGCTTTTGATTTACTCATCTAGTACCCTGTGAGCACAGTGCAGCCGTAGTAGCTCTGTATGAAGTTAATTTCTCTAAAGCACAAAGATATTTTTACATTCCTTTTCCAACACAAAGGGAAACCCCCATTGTCTTCACAAGATCTGCTTGGTTTTCATGGGAATGCAAGTCTAATTCCCACTGAGAAATTCCAAAAGGGATCAAATGCTAGGAATTCTAACAATTTTTTCAGACGACTACCCGTGCAGCCCGGTTTCCCAGTGTGCTGGGGGCTCAGCAGAGCTCTGAAGCCAGCACAAGCTGCAGATATTCCCATTCCCCACTCCAGTGCCCAAAGTTCAGCTGTTGAGTTGAACTGGAGGCACAGTCCTGAGCTGTTCCATTATGTCTTTACTCAAGGCCTCCCTGCCTTGAGATTCCATTGTTAGGAGGCTGAATTCTTAACACAGACACAGTTACCTGCTTCCTTCCTCCTTTCTTTCCTGTAGTTTTTTCCCCCTCTTTATTTTTTACATGCCATAAAAGCTTTTATCAGCTTTGAACCTAAAAATTAATAATTTCTGGACCAGGAAAATTTCTTCCTGGCAGTTACATAACAGAAACACCCAGGCAGCGGGCATGAGGTGTTAACCACGGGTGACATTTACCCCATAATTATCTGTTTTTACCTCCTCTGCATATGGAACTTTTTTGTGGTCTCTGCAACGTTAAAATATAAAGCTCTGGTAACTCTCCAGCGAGGCAGCATGGTATCAGAAGAGGTACTCCAAAAAAACTGTATGAATAGAGGGGGGGATAATGTGTGCAACAAAATAGAGGCCTTGCATCATAAAGATAGTCACAGAATTAATGACAAAAAGTTCAGATATTTACTGAATTGTTATTTTTAAGGAAATAAGAAAGATCAAGGAACTGTATAGTTATAGCCCTTAATTTCTCATTTTCATTCTATTATGCCAAGAAAATTGAGGTATAAAAAAAACCAAAAAACAAATGGGCCAATTGGTACAGTAAATAATGATGAGAAAACATCAGTAAGTGCTAGGTAAATGAACAAAATTTTCTCTAATATTGATTTTAACTTTACATTGCAATAAGTTGCCCAGAGAAGCTGTGTCTGCCCCATTCCTGGAAATGTTCCCAAAACCTTCTGTGATTCCATGAATACAGACACTTCAATTACACAATTTGTAATTCTGCACATAATTAAGTGAAATCTCCCTTATTCTGCAACATTTGATTTTGGTTTTAATTGTGTTCGGAATCCCTGCATTGCTCCATTTGGGTGGTGGGGGTCAAAGCCCCAGGCTGAAACCCCGAGGTGCCGTTGAAACCTTGGCAGCAATTCTGCATTCCCCTGAGCTCCCAGAGGTCATGGAAGAAAAGTCTAGAACCCCTACATGACTGTTTGAATTCCAATAATTCTAGATATATTCCCGGATAACTATATATTTTTAGAAACCATTGGATTCCTCAGGTTTCCCTGGAAGGTGCAGGACGACTTGCTGGAGAATGGCACTGTCTGAACCCTGAGAGAGCCGAGCAGGACCTGCCCAGCCTCCTCAAACCTTCATCTCCTTGCTGCTGAGATGGAGTCTGTGAATTTATTCATATTTTGTTGGACACAACAGTTGCACGCCCATGATGGCTGCTGGGCAGGGTAACCCTTTGGAAGAGATAAGAACAATGACACACCATAGAATGTTTCTCTTCTTGCTTGAGAAACGTCCTGGGCTTTGTCTCACTTTCAAGCCTCCAGCCTTCCCTCACCAGCACCTGGTTTCTTTACAGCATCAGTCTCCAGAAGCTTCTTAGAGCCTTAGTGGTATCTTCATATTTAACCTCAGATCTCTTTCCTGACTATCCTAAGTCCTTCATGGTGACAGGAGAACATGTGGGTAGATTCCACCCCTGATTCTATACCAATAAGGTTATTTTTCTACCAAATGTTCAGAAAAACACAAGGCAGGAAATCACTTACAGAACACGTTTGTCTTCCCAAGCTTCAAAGAGCTCCACTGGCTGGGGTGCATGGGAAGAGGACGCCCGTCTCTGTGTGCTGCAGCTGAGGCACAATGTGCATTTACAAAGGAGAAGTAAAATTCATGTGCTTTCGAAACCAATCCTTGGCCATCCTGTGCTCTACACCAATAGGCAAAGGGAGCCAAAATATTCAAATAACTTGCTAAAAAAGTGCTGTGGTATTTTAGTATGCAACACTATTCATACTTTATCCTGGTATTTGACCAGAACAGCCAACCAGAAATTTAACCTGCCAAAAATGGATATTTTTCAAATCACTGATGACCTTGTTTCCTTTCTGTCCTTAATACAGAATGGGAGGTATATTTTGAATTATTATAATTTCACCTGTTTGTCCCCAAAATGAAACCAGAATGCTGCCTTTTTCCTGCTGGCTGCACTTTTCAGCTCAACAGCACAGGGCAGGAGATACCCTTGAAAGTCCCATCTGCTCTTAGTCCTTCCATCACAGTATATGGAGCAGAAAGACACTTTCCTTGTCAGAAGTCAGTGCCTTCACTATGTACATCACTCAACCTCTTCCATCCCAACAAATTTTTCACCTTCAACCCACACTGAGCCATTAAGGAGAGAAATTCTAGCTGATGTCTCCACTGAATATACTTGTTCATCACCCACAGCCTCCATGGCTTTCTGAAGAAGGCACCTGGGCCAAGAAAACTCTTTATGGGGCCTCTGATACTTTGCTGCTCTTAAACACCATGCAGTGTGTGAAGCATCACGGGCATTTTAAGTGCACACGTCATTTTGGGAAGAAATCCTGATCAGCACTGATATTATACACTGATCAGCAGTGTATAATTAAGGATATTTTTCTCATATTGGTGCATACGACCTCCTAAACCCAGTGGAATAATTCCGTGATTCATTATAGGATATCCTGAATTACAGACTACCCTGGGTTGGAAGAGGCCCACTAGGATCATCAAAGTCCAACTCCTGATCCAACCTGTTGATCCGAGCCCAGAACCTGGAGCTGACAGCTCCAGCTGGACAGTTCTTTTGGTAGTCACAAAACCAAAACACTCACTGAGAAATACAATCAAGTTAACAACAAATTTTGGTTCAAACACCCACTCTTGCCAGGGCCTGTCTGCTCCTCTGAGCCCCTACCAAACCTCCACACACTGGGTGTGGAAAATTCAAGTCAGCCGTGTTATCCCTCTGTCCTCAGGGCACAGAGATTTGTCCATGACCTATGGAAGCACTCCTGAAAGTTACTGTATCCAAGGATAATGCATTACAACTTCACCCCCCAATCCGACACCCTCAGGCACATTAATGGATCCTCATCATCCTCAAGTACAGACACAAAACCTGAAGGATCATTTCCATAATTCCATATTCACTTTGATCACACAAGAAATTAGAACACCGAAGAAAGGACTGATTAGATAACCTCAGTTATAGTGAAACGCTGTTATTTTCTAATTGCACACTATTCCAACACACCTCACAAACTTTCCCTCCCAAAAAGACAGCGATCCAAACTCGACCAAGAAAATAAAGCTGCATTTTTAAGTGCCGAAGTGCCCTCCAACCCATTCTTTCAAATCATTAGTTACTTCTCTCCAACAGCAACATTCTCAATTCAGTCAGATTCAATGAGTGATTATTTACAGGAAAATATTTAAAAAGCCTTCAGCAAAGGAAAATGCATTTTTAAATAGGCATCTGCAGCTAACTTAAAGTAACCAAAACCCTCAAGTTCATTGAGACAGAGTAGAATCTAAACTGGAGTGCTTAAAGCCCTGAGCTGAAGTAAGAATCTCCACCTTTGAAATAAGAAACCAAGTGATGCTTTGCAAAGCTTCTTTGCCAGGATTGTTAAAAACACCAGAAATACTGCTTTTCTATGACAGGTAATTATTCCAGAACCCAATATTAATTCCCAGATCGGTTTTTGCTGGCTCTGAATATTATGGGCATGTTTTACAGGTGAAAAGAAAGAAGACATCCTTGAATTCGTTAAACCCCGGAATACGAACAGCAGATAAAGCATGCTCTAAACCCTGGCTTCATCACGCGCTTTGTGGTATCCCTGAAATTAAACAGAGAGAGGGCAAAAAGCCCCATTCGTTTCCCGTTTAATTGCTACACGCGATTAGATTTTTTTTTTTTTTTTTTTCCAGAGGCTGCGAATTGCTGGCAGAAAGCCCTGAAGAAGTGGCCGAAAGCCCCCGGGCGATGGAGCCGCTGCGGGCCCCGGCGGGACAGAGGGTCCGGGGTAAGAGCGGGGTCGTTTCTCACCTTCCATGCTCCTTTCGCGGGTCCCAGCTCCACCTGTCCGCCCGGGCTCGGGACTGCCAGCGGAGCGCACCGGCCTCGCCTCCCGCCCGTCACCGTGACATCCGGCTCGGTGCTCGGCGCTCGACGGGCGGAGAGCGGCGCCGGGTGGCGGGGAGAGGAGCCGACCCGGTCCCGGTCCCGGTCCCGGGTCCGGACTCGCCTGCCTTGGAGCTGGTGCCGCTCGCAAGGGATTCCGGCCCTTGGGGAGGGGCGGGGGCGGGGCGGGCGGCTGAGGGCACAGCGCCGGTTTTGGGAGATCGGGGGAGCCCCCAGGCACTTTTGTCCCCAGAATGGGCACAACTCGGACTGTGTGTTAAAAGTTAAATGGCTGAGATAATAGTAAAGAGAACTTAGGTTGAGATGGTTTTCTTAAGAAAACTGTGTTTTCTGGTTAGCAGAAAATCAAAGTACAAAGTTCTTCAATAAAATAAAACAAATATGAATTTCAAAGTCCTCTAGTACAGACTCCAAAAAGAGGTTCATTCCACACTGGGCCTTGAATGGGGCTTTGAGAGACCTGACCAGGTGCAGAATATTCCTGCTGGGGCAGGGGGCAGCATCAGGTGACATTTAGAGGTCACTTCAGGCCCAAAACCAGTTAATGAAGTGAGAAGTGAAATCGGGATCTGAGCTCATCACTTGGATCTAAACCCAAAGGCGGCAAGCGAAAATTATCATAGATCAGGAGCAGGATAACAACATGGAAACATGATTCTCCTACTCACTTCCTGTGTGGTGCCAACGGCTGCTTCTTGCACTGTTGCTTTTCCATTGCTTGGAAAAAAGATTCTAGAAATGTGTAAAAAAAAAAAAAAAGTGGGATAATCAAGCAATTCTTGGCTATTCCAGACAATCTCTGTAATCCCCTTCCAAAGTCATTTAATAATTAGGCAGGTTTCCTGGTTCTACAAATTTTAAGGAAGTCCTGGGATTGCTGTGCAGCAATCAGAAACCTCTGGTTTCCATCCCAGGATTATCCTCGGCCATTTTCTCTTACTGCCAGATTTGTTCTCTGATTTAAATCCCTACTTTTCCCATATGTTTACCCTCAGAGAAACGATTTTATCTTCACTCTGTTTTTATTTTAAGGGCACAAGTCAAACAAGCCTGGTTTTCCCAGCTTGTAAAAATACCCCAGTGCTAATTGTGACCCTCCTTAGTGTGATCCCACCTTTGGATCACTCACCTGAAAGATCAGAGACAGAACTTGTGGTCTGCAGGCTCTCCAGAGGCCTTCAACAGGTCCTTTACCTGACTGCACTCCTGGAAATCTTTCTACATATTTCCTAGGATAAAATATTCAGCTTTTTAATCTCTATTCACTCCATGATCAAGTTTACAACTGCTGATTTTTTTTGTCTTATTCTATCATCTCCTACTGATACTCTATTAACTAAAAAAAAAAAAACCCCAAAAAACCCACCAAAAAAAACCCACCAGAAAACCCCACCAAAATCAAAAATAACCCCAACCCCAGTAATCCAGGTTTTAAGCACAAATGTAAGTACCCTAATTCACATTTTGTCCTATTAAATCCTCTCTGCAACACTTTCTGTTCTTAAAAATAACCCATTCCCCTTCTCCCCCACTAAAGCTTACAATTCTATAAGGAAAATTCACCAGTCTGGGAGTTAGAAATATTATAGCATTGAAAATAAATGAGTCGTTTGGCTAAAGACACTGACTATGAGTTTATAAAGAACCAAAACTGCAGCCAAAGCTTTATAGTAGAGATATTATTTCATAATAATTAGCAACCTGGGGACTGATGGGCTGTGCAGGACCTGAAAGGAGCTATAAACATCCTTAGGAACTGAGGCTGCTCATGCTGAAATATGACTCGTTTATAGCAGACACGTTACAAAGTGAATCATTTTGCCTGCACAGTGTCAGCATGAAATGTTCACTTTGAGTAAAACTGAAAATATTCAGCATGTGGGAACGTGGGATCGTCTGAGGTGGTCCCAGTTCTGACCTGCTCAGCAGCTCAAGGACATTAAAAATGAAAACTCTGACACAGTTCTTACACTTTAACTTACACTTTAACTGACCACTTGAGTCAATGTGTTGGTCTAAGGAAGAAGAAAGCTTGATTAGAACTATTTACCATCGATAACTCCATACCTCCTTTTTCACACTTTTATTTTTGTATTTTTACTATTTTTTTCCTTATTAAAGGAAACTCATAGCTTAAATGCTCTTTTTACATAGAAACATTAAAACTTTCACAGCTGTCTGTAAAAAAGCTCTTATTCCTATAATTGCTGGTTCCATATTTGTTATGCAAATACTGTGATATCATTTTTGGACACTATCATGGTCTGGAGTGATAAATGTGATGTAGGTAGGTAGAGTAAATACTATTTTGCTAATTTCCAGAGGTTTGGCCACCGTTCTGGTCTTGAGTGTCTCAGGCGGTCAAATGCGAGGACCCTCCGTGCCCTGTCAGCAGCTTCTGGAGTGCTTTTGTACCACCTGCTCTAGAAACAAAATAGTTACATGTTTAAAAGTTTCAAAGACATAGCAGGTGTTCCAAAACAAAGTGTAATTGGCTTGAAAGTCGCTTGCAGTGATACTGTGGCATTTGGCTTCATTTTCGAGCCAACGCTATTCGCCCGGCTCTTACTTTCAGCCACAACAAGTGGCAGAATCTTGGAATCCTAGAGGAGTTTGGATTTTAAAAACCACCCAGCTCCACCCCTGCCACGGCAGGGATACCTCCCACTATCCCAGTTTGCTCCAAGCCCCGTCCAACCTGGCCTGGGACATTTACAAGAGCAACTTCCCTGGTAAATCCATTCCAGGGCCTCTCCCCCCTCACAGAGCAGATTTTCTTCCCAATATCCAATTTGAATCTCCCCTTTTTAGTTGAAGCCGTTGTGCTATCACTTCAGGACCCATGTCCAAAATCCCTTTCCAGCTCTCTTGGATCCCTTTTAGGTGCTGAAAGGGATGTTTTTTGCTTTTGAGTGGAAAAATACGTGTCCTGTAATGACTTTCTGCAGAAACCTGCAGCTGGAGAACACCCAGTACTCACAGCCCCTCAGGAGGAAAAGCCACAGGATGTGCCCAGCTCTTACTTTCAGTCTTTCTCACAGCAAGTGACAGAAACACAGAATGGTTTGGGCTGAAAGGAACCTTAAAGCTCATCCAGTTCCCCCCCTCTCCCCCTCTCCATGGGCAGGGACACCTTCCATAGCCCAGGGCAGGTTTTCAGCACTGATAGACAAAGCCACGACAGAGCCTCTTCCCACCTTGTCCCCCTGTACTTCCCTCTCCTTGTCCCACAGCTGGAAAAAAACACTTTAGAGTCAAAAACACCAGCTCACTGTGCACTGTGAGGAAGCGATGTGGGGCTGAAGGGTGACAACGGGCGCGGAGGGGGTGGCCGGGGCCGTCAAGCGCCTCAGGGGCCTTGAAAGCGAGAAAAAAAAAAAAAAAAAAAAAAAAAAAAAAAAAAAAAAAAAAAAAAAAAAAAAAAAAAAAAAACCACACCTCCCCACAACGAAACGCTGTTTAAAAATCTCCGCGAAGCGCCGGCGAGGAAACAGAATGTTTTTTTTTTAAACAGTATAAAAAAGGACGGGGTGTGGGGTGGGCGAGGGAGCGAGGGACCCCGGCGGGGACACCCCACCCTTCCCGCCCTCAGCGCTGAGGGGAGGCAAAAAGGGCGGGAAGCGCCGTGCGCGCGCGGGGATGGAGGCGGCGGGAGGCGGGGGGCCGTTAGCGCCCCCTCGCGCCCGCGGCGGCCGTTGTGAGGGGCGGCGGGAGGATGGCGGGGGGCGGCGGGCGGCCCCGCTGCCCCCCGGGCGCTCTCCTGAGCGTGGCGGCCGTGGTGGTGGTGGTGGCGGCGGGATGGGGTGAGAAGGGACCGGGGGGTGGGGAAGTAGATGGAGGCATCTGTGGGGTGTGAGGGCGGTCGGATCAGAGGGTGGTGCTTGATGAGGTGGGGTGGGGGGGGGGATCCCTGTGGAGCATTCCCTCAGGGTGGCAGACTGAAACCCCGTTAGAGGGGACAGAGTGAGCTCCAGTGACACCCTGTTGGTGTGTAACTCTCCACTGTGAGGGAAAAACGTCCCCAAAACACCTCCCCTCAGTGGGAGATGAAACTTCTCAAGAGGGGACAGGTGGGCTCAATTGATACCCTATTGATGGGTATCTCTCCACTGTGAGGGACAAAAACCTTCCCTCAGAGTGGGAGATGAATCCCCTCAAGAGTAGACAGGTGGGCTCAATGGATACCCCATTGGTAAGTACTGCTCCATCAATTTCAGGGACAGATATCCCAAAAAAACCTTCCCTCAGAGTGGGAGATGAAGCCTCTCAAAAGGGGACAGGTGGGCTCGATTGATACCCCATTAGTGGGTATCTCTTCACTGTGAGGGACAAATGCCCCCAAAAAACCTTTCCTCAGAGTGGGAGATGAAGCTTCTCAAGAGGGGACGGGTGGGCTCGATTGATACCCCACTGGTGAATATCTCTCCACTGTGAGGGACAAATGTCCCCAAAAAACCTTTCCTCAGAGTGGGAGATGAAGCTTCTCAAAAGGGGACAGGTGGGCTTGATGGATGCCCCATTGGTGGGTACTGCTCCACCAATTTCAGGGACAGATGTCCACACAGAACCTTCCCTCAGAGTGGGAGATGAAGCTTCTCAAGAGGGGACAGGTGGGCTCAATTGATACCCCACTGGTGAATATCTCTCCACTGTGAGGGACAAATGTACCCAAAAAACCTTCCCTCAGAGTGGGAGATGAAGCCTCTCAAAAGGGGACAGGTGGGCTTGATTGATACCCCATTGGTAGGTTGTGGTCCACCAATATCAGGGACAGATGTCCCCATAGAACCTTCCCTCAGAGCAGATGATGAAGCCCCCCAAGAGGGGACAGGGAGCTAAAACCCTGTAAGAGGGATTCTCATAGGTTCCAGTGACACCCCACTGTCCCCCAGGCTCAATCCTGGGACACAACAATCAAGCAGGACCACCCCAGTGTGCCCATGGTGTGGAAAAATAAAACCCTATTTCCAATAATTTCCACCTCTCCTGGGGATTCTTGTCACACAAACTTTCATGCCCAACATCAGCCTGCTGTTTTCCAGA